TTGAAACACCAGTGGCTCAGCCTCAAAACTCACATCAACATGTCACCACGGTAGAACAAACTGACAGACAAGTTTGTCTCCCTGTTGGAAACCTCTCATACCACCCTTACCTGGGTCCCTGTTAGAGTAGAACTGCTCAATAGAATTTTCTTGGCTGTAATATTTAAGGAAGATTAGAGATCACCAGATCTTTCACATGAAGAGCCAAACACCTACTGGGTAGGTTCTACCCACCAATCTTCACATTAGCTGCACAATGCAAAATGCTGTGTCATCCAGGCTCCTGTGACAAGATAAATGATGCTTCAATAGTGAGCCAAAGTCCATGCAGAAGGGATTACAACAAATGTACATGATTGGTCAGTTTACTCACCAGGATCACAAATTCAGTAGCAGGGAGTATTATAAACACTTTGGATTGGAAGTCCGTAGCTGCCTGAGTGAGAAGACAAGGCTTGAATGGATCTGGTCCTGGTGTTGGTGCTCTGTCTCTCCGTTTGGCTCCTCTTTTCACTCTGGACACAGAGCCATGGGAAAGGGAAGCTCCCACCTGGCCCCACTCCTCTCCCAATTATTGGAAATAGCCTGCAGATAGATTTTAAGAATATCAGCAAATCGTTAAGCAATGTAAGTATGCCTTATGCTCCTCCAGTGACATGCAGAGGGTAAGTCAATCAATGCCTACTTTAAAGTAAAGTATTCATATACATCACTACAAAACAAAATACTCCTTGTAGATTTTGCTATTTCTACTGCTTTTTTTAATCTGCCATTGTAAGAAATAGAGGAATGAAAAAAAAAAAAACATTATGGGAGAAGACAAATATGAAGATCATTATAAAATAGAAGCAAATCAATAAGGATTCCTAAGGTGGTGATGTGGCAGAGGGAGGGAGTATGGCCGCCCTTCATTGTTTCATAACCATTTCCTGTGATATTTTGGCTGAATGTAAGTGGTGTTGGAAGAACTTGTGATTAGAGATTTCATCCCATAAATCATCTACTGTATAAGCCATGTATTTTGTCCAGATTATCCAGGAAAATTAAACTTTTCCATAGAAGCAAATTCCTACTGATGTCAAGGGAACAGCAGTGGTCAGAGAACTAACATGGATGAATGAAAGACAGCAGTCATCAGGGAGGCCATGGTGGTGACAGGGTCCTTCTGGACTTTGCACAGAGCTGCTGTCTGTGGCTTGGGAAAGCTGCAGGATGGAAGAAATGCTTGCTCCATGAGATGTGCCTGTCCTGTCACTGCCTCTGTGGTGCCCGCTCTCTTTCTGTGTCAGTAATACCCACGGATCACAAACTGCTCTTGCCTTGGAATCATCTGGGGTCCTTTTAAAAAATAGATTTTTAGTATCCATCACAGGAGCTCTGGTAGCATAGTGCCTAAGGCACTTGACTACTAACCAGAAGGCTGGTGGTTCAAACCCACCAGCCACTCCCCAGAAGAATGGTTGGGCAATCTACTTCCATAGTAATACCACCTCAGAAACTCAAGGAGAGGTTGCTAAGAGTTGGGTCTGACTCGACAGCACATAACAACAACAGCAGTATCCATCACAGTGACACTGATTAGAATCCAGTGGGAAGAGATTTATAGGTGATTCCAAATCAGTCTTCTGGATATTGGTCCAAAGGTGGGCACTGGGGACTGATAAATTACTCAAGTGTCAGAGGTTCAACCAGCAGTGGTTCAAATTTAGATCTTCTATTTATCAGCTGTGGAACACTGGGAACTAAATTGAAATTCTCTGCACTTCAGTTCCTCTGTTTATAAAGCGGTGGTGAAAAAAACATGCTCAGGTGTTTATGTGATGATTGGTTGTAATAATATGAGTACCAAATGCTCAGTCCATTCCCTGGCACATAGAGGCCCTCCTTAAATGGCAGCCTTAATAATAACCATCAAACATACATGTGTAAAATTCAGGAATACTTAAAGCGTTGTATAGCAAAATAAAACGTCACCAATACAATAACAATAATATCAGTATGAAACATGCACAGAATAGAGGAAATAGTGAATTCTTTTGTTAATATTTGCATCCACTTTCTTTTCCCAGTTCTCAAAAACCTATGGCCCTGTGTTCACTCTGTATTTTGGCATGAGGCCCACAGTGGTGTTGCACGGATATGAAGCAGTGAAGGAAGCCTTGATTGACCAGGGAGAGGAGTTTTCTGGAAGAGGCAGTTTCCCACTGACTGAAAAAGCTAATAACAAACTTGGTAGGTGGGCGTGCCTTGTGGGGCGGAGATTGGGGTTGGGAGGGGTATAGAGGGGTGTAATTAGGTTAGCATCCTCCTCCTTGACTCTCACTCTACTTTCTATTATTCCACCTGATAGGAATCATTTTCAGCAACGGAAAGACATGGAAAGAAATTCGGCGCTTCTCTCTCATCACCCTGCGGAATTTCGGGATGGGAAAGAGGAGCATTGAGGACCGCGTTCAGGAGGAAGCCTGCTCCCTAGTGGAGGAATTGAGAAAAACCAAGGGTGGGTGATTGGCTACTCTATCTAGGACCTTCACAGAACACTGTTCTCTAGGGGCGTCCTTGGAAGCATTTCGGGGCATTCAAGTCTTCCTAGTGCATGAGGACTCAGCCTCCAGGGGGAGGAGCGACGGTTTGAAGCCGAGCAAGGGAGCGTTTCTGCACCTATGCCGTGTGTGTGGTGCGTGATTGTATACCTAATGGGCATGTAAAAGACTCTTTGAATCTTCCTCTTCCCAGGCATAAAGACAGAAAATTTTTGAGTCTCATTTTCTCAAAGGTTAAAGAGCATAGTATTATTGCAAGACACTTATTCCGGAACATTTCACTGGGAAACACTAGTCAAGAGGACACTTTGGGAATGACCTTATCACACTGCTAGGAAACCTAAAGCAAATGCCCTTTGCGGTCTGTCACTTTTCCTTGGCCTATCTGTGTGTGGTCAGCCTCACTGACATGTCTGAGAGCTTCTTTCAAGGCCCACACCTGCAGTTCTGACCAAGAAAGGTCAGAACTATGGTTTTCATTGTCCAGGCATCTCTTAGCACAACTCTCATTAATTGTGATTTCTCTGTAAATACAGAACAATTTTTAAACTATCACCATGAATTACTTGAAGGTACTGACTAGTAATTGTACTGATTGATATTTTTAAGAAAATGTATGCTAGGAATAAAAAATAGGAGCTCTGGTAGCATAGTGCCTAAGGCACTTGACTGCTGACCAGAAGGCTGGCGGTTCAAACCCACCAGCCACTCCTCGGAAGGTAGGTTGGGCAATGTATTTCCATGGTGATATTGCCTCGGCAACCCAAGGAGGGGTCGCTTTGAGTCAGGGCCGACTCAACGGCACATAACAACAAGAATAAAAATGTATGGTAATAATACGCATGATCTGCAAAATGCACATATGCAGTATATACAATGATTTACTTAATTAAACTGCTACTTCTTTACACTGTCTTCCCTAACTGTAAGTTGACTTGCTTCAGATTTGCTTATTTTTCCCCCCATCTTGGCTTTTAGGTACAACATTTATGTATTATTTATTTCCTTCTACCATCTCTACTGTAAAGTGTTTAGAACGTTGACTCTAATTTTCAACTTTGTTGTTGTTAGGTGCCGTTGAGTCATCTCCAACTCCTAGTGACCTAATGTACAACAGAAGGAAACATTGCCCCATCCTGTGCCATGCTCACAATCCTTGCCATCCATGAGCCCATTGTTGTAGTCACTGTATCAATCCATCTTGTTGAGGACCTTCCCCTTTTTCATTGACTCTCCACTTTACCAAGAATAGTATCCTTCTCCTGGGAATGGTCCCCTCTGACAACATGACCACGTAAGTGAGACAAAGTCTGGCCACTCTCACTTCCAAGCAGCATTCCGGCTGCACTTCCTCCAGGACAGATTCGTTAGCTCTTTCAGCAGTCCATGGTAGTCTCAACATTCTTCGCCAGTACCACAACTCAAAAGCATCAACTTTTCTTCAGTCTTCCTTATTCATTGTCTAGCTCTTAGATGCATAAGAGATTGAAAATACCATGACTTTGGTTAGGCACACCTTAGTCTTCAAGGAGAGACATCCTTGCTCTTCAGCATTGAAAGAGGTCTTTTGCAGCACATTTGCCCAATGCAAGATGTCATCTGATGTCTTGACTGCTGCCCACTGGTGTTAATTGTAGAAACAAGTAATATGAAGTCCCAGACAACTTCAATCTTTTCTCTGTTTATCGTGATGCTGTTTATTGGTCCATTTGTGAGGATTTTTGTTTTCTTTATATTGAGGTGTAATCCATACTGCAGACTGTAGTCTTCAACCTTCATCAGTAAGTGCCTCAAGTCATCCTGACTTTCAGCAAGCAAAGTGGTGTCATCTTCATATCACAGGTTGTTAAAGAGTCTTTCTCCACTCCTGATGCCACGTTCTTCATATAATCCAGGTTCTCAGATTATTTGCTCAGCATACACATTGAATAAGTATGGTGAAAGATACCAACCTAACTCACTCCCTTCTTGATTTTAAACCATGCAGTATCCCCTTCTTCTGTTTGAACAACAGCCTCCTGGTCTATGTACAGGTTTCTCATGAGTACAATTAAGTATTCTGGAATTACCATTCTTCTCAATGTCATCCATAATTTGTTATGATCCATACAATCAATGCATAGCCAATAAAACACAAGTAAACATCTTTCTGGTATTCTTTGCTTTCACCCAAGATCCATCTTATATTAGCAATGATATCCCTCCTTCCACATCCTCTTCTGAATCCAGCTTGCATTTCTGGAAGTTCTCTGTCAATATTCTACTGCAGCCGTTTTTGAATTGTCTTCAGTAAGAGTTTCTTGCATGTAATATTAATGGTGTTTTCTATATCGTTAATATTATATAGAATTATATAGAATCTTTCATATCGCAACTCGAGGCTTAAATTTTTTCTTCAGTTCTTTCAGCTTGAGAAGTGCGAGCATGTTCTTCCCTTTTGGTTTTCTAACTCCAGGTCTTTGCACATTTCATTATAATAAATGGCTTTGTCTTCTTGAGCTGCTCTTTGAAATCTTCTGTTCAGCATTTTTATCTTGTCATTTCTTCCCTTTGCTTTAGCTACTCTCCGTTCAAAGGGCAAGTTTCAGAGTCTCATCTGACATCCATTTTGGTCTTTTCTTCCTTTCTTGTCTTTTTAATGACCTCTTGCTTTCTTCATGGATAACGTTCTTGATGTCACCCCATAATTCCTCTGGTTTTCAGTCATTGGTGTTCAGTGCACCAAATCTGTTCTTCAGGTGGTCTCTAAATTCAGGAGGGATATAATCAAGGCTATATTTTGGTTCTCATGAACTTGTTTTAATTGTCTTCAACTTCAACTTGAACTTGCACATAAGCAGTTGATGGTCTGTTTCACAATCAGCTCCTGGGTTTGTTTTGCCTGAAGACATCGAGTTTTTCCATCTCCTCTTTCCACAGATGTAGTTAATCTGATTCCTGTGTACTCCATCTGGTGAAGTCCACATGTACAGCCATCATTTAAGTTGTTGAAAAAGTTATTTACAATGAATTAGTCGTTGGTCTTGTAAAATTCTATTATGTGATCTCCAGCATTATTTCAACTGGGATTCCAAATTGTCCTGGTTTTAAATTCCTTCAATCAAATGGAGGAAAAGGGAAGATTGAAAATTACACTGCAGCTGCAAATCACACACAAAGAAATCCCAAAGGCTTCCAAAATATCTCCAACACACTAGCTAAAATTAATTTTTTTCTCAAAGCTTAGAACCCTGGAATGTTTCAGTTTTCAGCTGAAATGGGACCTAGCAGAGGAGCAGCTAACTCAACAAGTGTCCTATCAATCAATGTCTTATCTTTTCTCTTTTTATTAAAAATCCTATTTTTATTTATTAAAATTCTTATTGTGATTTGGGTGACAGTTTACAGAGCAAATTAGTTTTCCATATAGCAGTTCATACACATTTTGTCTCATGACACTGACTGCAATTCCCCACAATGTAACAGCTCTCTTAACACTTCCTCCCCATAGTTACCTCTTCCTTGTGTCCTTCCCTGTCATATCTCTTCTTCACAACAGTTTTAAGTCATCCTGAATTATATCTGGGAGCTCTGGTAGTGTAGTGCCTAAGGCTAACCTTAGGCACTGCTAACCAGAAGAGTGGTGGTTCAAACCCACCAGCCACTCCTCAGAAGGAAGACTGGGCAATCTACTTCCATAGAGATACCACCTCGGAAACCCAAGGAGGGGTCATTATGAGTCAGATCCGACTCGATGGCAATGAGTTTGAATTACATCTATAAATGTGGATCTGTGGACTTTTTATATATAAAGTTTATAAATCATTTAATAGACCTTCCATCAAAAGAAAACATTTTCTCTGCTTCAATTTCTGTATTTGGAAAATGATGGAATGGACCTAAATAATGTCAGAGTTTAAAATTTACATTATACTTTATGAGGCAGGAGCCAACTCGATGGCAGCAAACAACATAATCTGTTGCTGGCTACACACAGCTGGAGAAAGATCTGGCAGTCTACTTCTGTAAAGATTTACAGCCTTAGAAACCCTATGGGACATTTTATAGGGTTGCTATGAGTCATAATCTACTCGATGGCAAAGGATTTTTTGTTATATACAGCAAAGTCCTAGAAGTCCACAGGAAAGCAGCATTTGCCCAAATAAATTAAATTTGGAGGCTATTTCAGAGTTAAATACTACTTCCTAGAGGAGTAATTCTTTTTTTCCATATGAAATGAAGAACTAAAAGAACTCCACTTACCAATTTAAACTTTTTTATTTTTTTTTTGCTACCTGTGAGTTAAGTTTGTGATAAAAATGTTTTATTTTGTATTTATTTTAGACAAACAAATGTATCCTCTTTCTTCATTTACATTAGTTTTTTTGACTCATACAACATGCATCGTTTTTACTTTTGTACATTTGTTCCTTCAGATACCAGAAATCTACATATAATCTCTCTCTCTTTAGTTTTTCCCTCTGCTGGTTAGACATACAGTTCTTTCAACTATTCATTACATATAAGAAAATGTTTCAGGTTCCTAGTGTTTTCTTTTTTCCTATATTAATGCATACTTGTCTATAGGCTTTGAAGACAGATGTGATTCTGCAGTGATACCCTGAACTTTTAGGTGCTTAAAAAGTAGTCTGTCCATGGTGGAACCACTGAGACTATGGCCCCTAGCTGCCCTTCAGGTCTGGAATTGAACCCACACCTGTGGTTTCCAGCCAAACAAAGTACAGGCATGTGAGTTAAACATTTACCTCGAGTAGACACACGCCCTGGAGAGAACAATCATGGGAGAAGGAAGGGCTGCTTATGCATAGGGAGACAGCTCAGGGGACAGGAGAGTATGGAGGGATGGACAGTGGGAAGAGGTAACTATGGGGAGGAAGTGGGAGGGGAGCTGTTGCATTGTGGTAAGCTGTGGTCAATGACATGAGACAAAGTATATGTGAACTGCTGTATGGAAAGTGAATTTGCTCTGTAAATCTTCACCCAAATCACTATATTAAAAAAAAAAAGTAGTCTGTCCAACTGGTGAAGGTGCAGAGGATGAAAAACAAAACAGCTGTGAAATTACACACATTAGTTCTAAAAAGAAAAGTGGGCCATTAGACTGTTTTTCCCCTCAAAAATAACTGGCACCTTGGCTTAGACAGGTCTAAATAAGGCAGTGGGTGTGAACAGCATATTTGAAAAACCATTATCAATGGAGTTGAAATGGAATGGTTAGTTCACGTTTAAGGGGAAAGTGATGTGTTCATTTATGAATACTGCTTTTTTTCCCCCAATATGGAAATTTCTAGGTTTTTGTTCTAGGTTGTTGTTAGGTACCATCAAGTCATCTCCAACTCATAGCAACCCTATGCACAGCAGAACAAAACACTGCCCAGTCCTACCTATGCCAGCCTCATGATCCTTGTTATGCCTGAACCTGTCATTGCAGCCACTGTGTCTGTCCATCTCATTGAGGGCATTCCCCTTCTTCACTGACCCTCCACTTTAACAAGCATGACATCCCTCTCCAGGAAATGGTTTCTTCTGACAATATGACCAAAGTAGGTGAGATGAAGTCTGGCCATTCTCACTTCCAAGAAGCATTCGGGCTGCACTTCTTCCAGGACAGATTGTTAGTCCTTTTAGCAGACTATGGTACTCTTAGCGTTCTTCTCCAACACCACAACTCAAAAGCATCAACTCTTCTTCAGTCTTCCTTATTCATTGTCCTTGGGAGCTCTGGTAGCATAGTGGCTAAGGCATTTGACTGCTAACCAGAAGGCTGGCGGTTCAAACCCACCAGCCACTCCTCGGAAGGAAGATGGGGCAATCTACTTCCATAGAGATACTGCCTTGGAAACCCAAGGAGGGGTCGCTATGAGTCGGGTCTGACTCAACAGCACATAACAACAACAACATTCATTGTCCAGCTCTCACATGCATAAGAGGCAATTGAAAATACCATGGCTTGGGTTAGGTGCAACTGAGACTTCAAGGAGACATTTTTGCTCTTTATCACTTGAAAGAGTTTGTTTGCAGCAGATTTGCCCAATGCAATACATCATCTAATGTCTTGACTGCTGCTTCCATTGGTGTTGACAGTAGAACTAAATAATATGAAGTCCTTGTCAACTACAATCTTTTCTTCATTTATTGTGAAGCTGTTTATTGGACCGTTGTGAGGATCTTTGTTTTCTTTATACTGAGGTGTGATCCATACTGCAGATTTTGGTCTTTAATCTTCATCAGTAAGTGCTTCAAGTCATCCTCACTTTCAGCAAGCAAAGTTGTGTCATCTGCATATCACAGGTTGTTAATGAGTCTTACTCCAATCCTGATGCCATGTTCTTCTTCATATATCCAGCTTCTAGGATTTTTCGCTCAGCATACAAGTTGAATAAGTATGGTGAAAAGATACAACCTTGACGCAATCCCTCCTTGATTATGAACCATGCAGTATCCCCTTCTTCTGTGTGAAATTCTAGGTAGATAGTGCTTAAAAGTTTCTAAAATTACCTTTACCTGTTGTCATGGACTGAGTTTTGTGTACCCAGAATACGTGTCAGCTTGGCTGGGCCAGGGAGCTCTGGTGGCACAGTGCCTAAGGCATTTGACTACTAACCAGAAGGCTGGTGGTTCAAACCCACCAGCCACTCCTCAGAAGGAAGATAGGAAAATCTACTTCCATAGTGATATCACCTTGGAAACCCAAAGAGTGGTCCCTGTGAGTTGGATCTGACTCAACAGCAGTGAGTTTGTTTCTTTTGATTTGGCTGGGCCATGATTCTCAGTGGATTAGCAATGATGTAAGGATGTAGTTTGGCAGTTATGTAATGATATAATAATCCCCCAAGATATGATCTGATGTGACCAGCCAATCAGCTGTAAGTGGATCAGGGGGGATTTAACACCCGTACTCAGGACACAGCCCTGATACAATATAAGGGCAGTTCCACCAGGTGTGGTCTGCATCACCTTTTAGCTTACAAAAGATAGAAGGAGAGAGAAGCAAGCAGAGAAGGAAGGACCTGACTACCACCAAGAAAGAAGAGCCAGGAGCAGAGGGCATCCTTTGGACCCAGGGTCTCTGCCTGAGAACTGCTTAGACCCATGGGAAGACTGATGCCAAGACACATGGAGATCTCCAGGAGATCCTCAGCCAACAGATGTTGAGAGGGGACAAGGACCTTCCCCCAAAACTGACAGAGAGAGAAAGACTTCCTCTAGATCTGGCACTCTGCATTTGCACTTATAGCCTCTTAAACTGTGACAGAATAAACCTCTGTGAAAGCAACCACTCATGGTATATCTGTTAGAGCAGCACTAGATAACTAAGACACCTGTTATCCGAAAGGCACTTTGTTTTATAAGTGTATTTCAACAGTATTTTTCAAATGTTTCTAATTCTTTTTTTTTTTTCTTTCTTTTTTCTTAATGCTTTAGCCTCAGCTTGCAATCCCACTTTTATCCTGGGATGTGCCCCCAGCAATGTGATCTGCTCCATTATTTTCCAGAATCATTTTGCTTATAAAGATCCAGATTTTCTTATGCTGATGAAAAAACTCAATGAAAACTTTGGAATTGTAAGCTCCCCATGGATCCAGGTGAGGCCAAAATCCTTTCTTCCTGAGAAATCATTTATGTTTCTTTCTCTGGCAAGTGCAAAATTCCATATGGACCAAGCTGTAAGGCTTGAACACAAACTTCATGTTTAGGGTCTATTATGGATTGAATTGTGTCCCCCAAAATATATGTTGTAAATCCTCACTCCTATACCAATTGTTATCATTCCATTTGGGAATGGCTTTTCTTTATTATCTTAATGAGATGATATTAGGGAGTGATTTAAGTCAATATTTTTAGAGATTTAAAAGAAATTAAATAAGCAAATGAGTAAGCAGCGATAGGAGAAAAGAGATGCCAATTCATATGAGAGTGACCTAGGAGTAGAAGCTCATAGAGAAGGGAACTTCTTCCAGGGCCAATAGAAAGAGAAAGCATTCCCCTACAACTGGCACCTGAACTCAGACTTCTAGGCTCCTAGACAGTAAGAAAATAATTTCTGTTCATGAAAGCCACTCATTTATGGTATTTCTGTTATAGTAACACTAGATAAATAAGACAGGGTCATGGAGTAAACATCAGAGAAAGATAACCCTGCCCTTTAGTTTCCAGATTAGAACACAATGCTCAGAATATAGAGCTGTCTTCAAGCACATGGGCTCCCTGTCCAGTTATTTTTGCACTAAACCCCAAACCCAGTTTCCATAAAGTACTCAGATTATATCTGAAAAGCATGCACATAGCAATCAATGGAGAGTTAAGGCCCTTGTTGAAAGACTTCCATTAACCACAAAGCTTGTCCTCCATTCAATACCTAGTGACCTCTTCATCAAATTACTTGGCAGAAATATTCTCATTTAGGATATAAAAGAGGGAAAATGTTTAATACTGCAGATGCTACCTAGAAGTGCTGATTAACATAGGGGTGTTTGATGCTTCAGTTGTGATTCTACCTGACAAAGAAGAGAAAATCATTGAGCTTGATGGTGTATAAATCATAAACATCACAATTTTGCCTTGTGCTGAGCAGGCACATCCTGCACTCTACCAAAAATCATAACTACATGATCTTAGGTGATCTTCTTGCTGTTCGGTGCCACTGAGTTGGTTCCGACTCATAGTGACCCTATGCATGGCAGAACAAAACACAGTCTGATCCTCCACCCTGCTCACATCACTGCAGCCACTGTGTCAGTCCATCTCATTGAGGGGCTTCCCCTCTTCTGCTGACCATCTACTTTACCCAGCATACCTTTCTCCAGGCCCTGGTCCCTCTTCACAACATGACCAAAGTACACGAGATGAAGTCTGGCCATTCTCACTTCTGTGGGGCATTCTGGTTGCAGTTCTTCCAAGACAGATTTGTTTGTTCTTCTGGTAGTCCGTGGTATATTCAATATTCTTTGCCAACACTATCAACCAAATCCATCCATTTTTCTTCAGTCTTCCTTACTCATTGTCCGTCTTCCACATGCACATGAGGCAGTTCAAAAGACCATGGCTTGGGTTACGTGCACCTTAGTTTACAGTGACGTCTTTGCTGTTTATCACTTTAAAGAGATCTTTTGCAGCACATTTGCCCTATTCAGTACATCGCCTGATTTCCTGGCTGCTGCTTCCACGGCTGTTGAGAGCAGATCCAAGTAAAATGAAATCCCTGACATTTTCAATCTTTTCTCCGTTTATTGTGATGTTGCTTATTGATCCAGTTGTGAGGATTTTTGTTTTCTGTATATTGAAGTGTAATCCATACTTTGATCTTCATCAGTAAGTGCTTCAAGTCTTCTTCACTTTCAGCAAAGAAGGCCATGTCATCTGCATATCGCAGGTTATTAGTCTTCCTCTGATTTTTTTTTTTTTCTCTTGTGATTTGGTTGAAAGCATACAAAGCAAATTCATTTTCTGTACAGAAGTTCATACAGAGTTAATGGAAGTCTTTCAACAAGGGCCTTAACTCTCCATTGATTGCTATGTGCATGCTTTTCAGATATAATCTGAGTACTTTATGGAAACTGGGTTTGGGGTTTAGTGCAAAAATGAATCATACACATTATGATTCATGACATTCATTGCAATGCCCATAATGTAACAGCTCTCTTCCCATGTCCTCCCTGTGGTTACCTTTTTACTGTATCCTTTCCTATGCATTCCTGCCCTCTGAAATTCTTCCTCCAATCTTGATGCTGAATTCTTCATGCTTGAGTGTTGACCAATTCTTTTGGTACCTGATTCTGTGTATACCTTCTATCTTCTTTTGATGCTTACTGTATCATTCAATATTTTGCCTATATAATCTTTTAATATTACATCTCAAGGCTGACATTTTTTCTTCAGTTCTTCCAGCTTGAGAAATGCCAAGAATGTTCTTCTTTTTTGGTGTTCTAACTCCAGATCTTTGTACATTTCATTATACACTTTACTTTGTTTTCTCAAGCTACCCATTGAAATCTGATCGACTGTTTTTTATTTCATCATTTCTTCCATTCACTTTAGCTACTCTCCATTCAAGAGCAAGTTTCAGAGTTTCTTCTGACATCCATTTTGGTCTTTTCATCCTTTCCTGTCCATTTAATGACATTTTGCTTTCTTCATCTATGATGTTTTTGACATCATCCTACAACTCATCTGGTCTTCAGTCATTGGTTTTCAATGTGTAAATTCTGTTCTTCAGATGGTCTCTAAATTTAGGTGGAATAATATGCAAGGTTGTATGTGGGCTCTCATGGATTTAATTTTCTTCAGCTTTAACTTGAGTTTGCATATGAGCAGTTGATGAGCTGGTCCACAACAGTGGTGGTATCATGATCTTAGAGAAATCACTTAATTTTCTTTTTAATAGTTTTTTTTTTCTACATGATATGCTAAGTAAGGTGTCATGGTAATTTCAAGCCACTCCCATTTCTAAAATATTGATTCTATTTCTGAGGCTGCTTGATAGAGTTAGAAGAAGCCACAACTAGCTTTGTGCTCCATATCAAGTTGTCTACTTTCTTAACCTATATTCTCATCAACAAAATGTGAATCACACTAATTTTATGCTATCCTTCATTTTTTTGATTGTAGGGAAGAATTGATGTAAAACAAATTAAAGTATTGATATTAAGATGTTCTTTTATACTGTAGAAATTATGTATGAGATCAGGAAAAAATTATCAGCTTTGATCCTCTGATCAGAATTTTCTCCCTTGAACCTTTCTATAAGCATAGAGAATTACTTTATAGGTACAGTAAAAGTTCCCTTCAAATTGGAGACCATATTTTATTCGTGTTTATAGGCCCAGTTTCTAACCAGGCTTACCATATGGCATATATGTGTTCATGAGATTTTATTATTATTATTTAATAAACATTTTTCTCTCTTTTAGATCTGCAATACTTTTCCTGTGCTCCTTGATTATTGCCCAGGGAGTCATAAAAAATTCCTTAATAATAATTCTTATTTAAAAAGCTATATTTTTGAGAAAATAAAAGAACATCAAGAATCTCTGGATTTCAATAATCCTCGGGACTTTATTGACTACTTCCTGATTAAAATGGAACAGGTAAAACACTAACAGATCAGTTATTTGTTTGCTTGTACATTTTGTGGTTCACTGAATAGTTCTGTACTCAATAGGGATGTTTAAATGATCAGGTAAGTAATGTTTTACAAGCCTTTTAATACCTATAATGTACACATACCTGCACTAAACATCATGGAATGATTTTAAACTGAATGGTTAAATAATTAGAGTACATGGACCCTGTTCTTTAGCTACTAATCATCAGCCTAATGAGACACAAGATGCACACCTGAGTTGAAATGGAAACAATTACAAATGAGTCAGAGAATACAAAATATCATGCCAACAAATGAAGATGGAAATGATCATTGCACACCGTGCATGGGAGAATGGGGAATATTTGCAATGAGGTACAGGATGGGGCATTTCAGATGCACTGAATGGAGTATACAGAGGTTCAGAGATGTGTGGTGGCAAAGAGATCACGTAGGTGGAAGAGAAAAGTCTTAATTGAGTGTAAGCAAAAATAAATGTCCACAGATATGGAGTTGGATTTTGATGTCTGTTAAGTAACCTGTAAACATGAATGGTGGCATGGAAAATTTTTATTTGACCAGTTAGATGTATGAGTGTACAGGAATCAAATACTTATAATTATTAGGGAAATTATGCCAGGAGTTATATCGAATTATCTGTAAGATGACAGTGAAGATCAGCTGGTAGATTGTTCATTTATTTAGACTTGGTCTCAGTGAGAAAGTGGACCACGCATATACAGAGGCTGAAATAAAATCGAGTTGTCTATCATGTCATGTTCTCAGAAATCTACAAAGAGAATTAATTAGGTACTGGCATGGATGTCAAGAAGCAATATTTTAGAAGAAAAGAAAAAAACTGAGAAGTGACTAATGCTGTACTTGGAAGGTGTGGCAGTTATGTTTTTGTGTCAACTTGGCTAGGCCTGGTTGAGTGGCTGGGCAGCTGGATGTAGTATTCTCCATGAGACTGGTAATCAACTCCATGATGGAATCTACTGGGAGCAGCTGAGTAGCTGCCTTTGGGTATGTGGTCTGCTTCCCGTATATAAGCAGGAGCTTTGGAAATGGTCTCTAGCTTATGGCATGCTTGGACCCTGCATGTAGCCATGTCATTGTTCAGCAGTCTGCCATGTTCTGCCAACCTTAGGACTTACAATGGACTTGAATTAATGGCCTGTTGTGTGGTTTGGTAACATTGGGACTATGCCTTTTTACTTGTCAACCTTGGGCTTGGCAGCCTAAGCAGCCAGCAGCTGTCTGAGTGAAGAAAAGCCTCTAGCTTCAGTGGGCTGGGAGCAGGAGGCAGAGCTGAAGCCCGAGGCTATGAGGGTCTTTGACCAGGCCCCTAGAGCTAGGCACTTTGGACTTGGACTTAAAGCCTCCAAATTGTAAGAACAAACTCCTGTTTGTTAAGGCCATCCCATTTGTGGTATATTCCCATCAGAGCAGCACTAGGGAACCATAACAGAAGGCTTTCAATTTTGCGTCAGAGGACGCCTGTTGTTGTTGTTTGTTATCGAGTCATTCTGTCTCACGGACCCAATACACCATATATATAGTGATCTACATATGGGATTCACCACTTGTCTCCCAGTTTGTCATACTGTGGTGGCTTGCGTGTTGCTGTGATCCTGGAAGCTATGCCACCGGTATTTCAAATACTAGCAGGATTACCCATGGTGGACAGGTTTCAACAGAGCTTCCAGACTAAAACAGACTCAGCAGAAAGAAGAGGCCATCCACTTCTTAAATAATTGGTCAGTGAAAACCTTATGAATTGCAGAGAAACACTGTCTGATATTTTACTGGAAAACTTTATGAATAGCCCTGAAATATTGTCCGATATATTGCCAGAAGATTATCCCTTCAGTCGGAAGGCACTCTGAATATGACTGGGGAAGAGCTGCCTTCTTAGAGTAGAGTCGACCTTAATGATGTGGATGGAGTAAAGCTTATGAGACCTCCATTTGCTGATGTGGCATGACTCAAAATAAGAAGAAATGGCTACAAATATCCATTAATAATCAGAACATAGAATGTACGAACTATGAATCTAGGAAAATTGGAAGTTGTCAAAAATGAAATGAAACACATAAAGATCAATATCCTAGGCATTAGTGAGCTGAAATGGAGTTGTTTGGGCCATTTTGAATCATACAACTATATAATCTATGCTGGGAATGACAAACTGAAGAGGAATGACGTGGCCTTCATCATCACAAAGAATGTTTCAAGATCTATCCTGAAGTACAATGCTGTCAGTGATAGGATAATATCCATATGCTTACAAAGAATACCAGTTAATACTAATGTTATTCAAATTTACACACCAACCACCAAAGCCAAAGATGAGGAAATTGAAGATTTTCACCAACTCTTGTAGTCCAACATTGACCAAATATGCAATCAAGATGTGTTGATTATCACTGGTGATTGGAATGCAAAAATTGGAAACAAAGAAGAATCATCAGTAGTTGAAAAATATGGTCTTGGTGAAAGAAATAAAGCTGGAGATCTCATGATAGAATTTTGCAAGACCAATGACTTATTCATTGCAAATACATTTTTTTCAACAACATCAACAGCTGCTATACATGTGGACTTCACCAGATGGAGTACAAAAGAATCAGATTGACTGCATCTGTGGAAAGAGGCAATGGAGAAGTTCAATATCTTCAGCCAAAACAAGGCCAGGAGCTGATTGTGGAACAGACCATCAACTGCTCATATGCAAGTTCAAGTTGAAGCTGAAGGTAATTAAAACAAGTCTATGAGAGCCAAAATATGACCTTGATAATATACATCCTGAATTTAGAGACCATCTAAAGAATAGATTTGATACATTGAACACCAATGACTGAAAACCAGAGGAATTGTGGGATGACATCAAGAACATCATCCATGAAGAGAGCAAAAGGTCATTAAAAAGACAGGAAAGGAACAAAAGACCAAAATGGATGTCATAAGAGACTCTGAAGCTTGGCCTTGAACCAACAGTAAATAAAGCAAATAGAAGAAATGACAAGATAAAAGAACTGAACAGAAGATTTCAAAGAGCAGCTTGAGAATACAAAGCCAATTATTATAATGAAATGTGCAAAGACCTGGAGTTAGAAAACCAAAAGGGAAGAACAACCTAATTCACAAATGGGTAAAACACTTGAACAGACACTTCACCAAAGATGATATACTGATATACAACAAACACATGAGAAACTGCTCATGATCATTAGTCATTGTTGTTGTTGTTGTTATTTGCCATCGAGTCGGCCCCAACTCATAGCGACCCCTCCTTGGGTTTCCGAGGCAGTATCACTATGGAAGTAGGAATGCCCAACCTTCCTTCCGAGGAGTGGCTGGTGGGTTTGAACCGCCAGCCTTCTGGTTAGCAGTCAAGTGCCTTAGGCACTATGCAACCAGATGCAAATCAAAACAACAATGAGATATCATCTCACCCCAGCAATAATAGCAAAGTTCAACAGGTCAGAAAATAACAAATGCTGGAAAGGTTGCGGAGAGACTGGAACTCTTGTGCACTGTGAGTGGGATTGTAAATGGTACAACCATTGTGGCATACTGTATGGCATTTCATTAAAAAACTGAAAATGGAACTACCATTTGACCCAGCAATTCCATTACTAGGAATATATCCTAAAGAGATGAGAGACAGAGCATGAACAGACATATGTACACCTATGTTCATCGCAAGACAATTCACTATAACAAAGAGATGGAAACAACAATCCTCACAAATGGACCAATGAGGAGCACCACAATAAATGGAGAAAAGATTGAAGTTGTCAAAGATTTCATATTATTTGATTCCACCATCAACACCAATGGTAGCAGCAGTCAAGCCATCAGATGACGTATTGCACTGGGCAAGTCTGCTGTAAAAGACCTCTTTAAAGTGCTGAAGAGCAAAGAGTTCTCCTTGAAGACTAAGGTGTGCCTAACCTAAGCCATGGTGTTTTGAATTGCCTCATATGCATGTGAAAGCTGGACAGTGAATAAGGAAGACTGAAGAAGAGTTGATGCTTTTGAGTTGTGGTGTTGGCAAAGACTGCTGAAAGTCCCATGGACTGCCATAAGAACTAACAAATTTGTCCTGGAAGAAGTCCAGCTGGAAAGCTCCTTGGAAGCGAGAGTGACCAAACTTCGTTTTACCTACTTTGTTCATGTTGTCAGAAGGGACCATTCCCTGGAGAAGGATATCATCATCCTTGGTAAATTGGAGGGTCAACTTAAAAGCTGAAAGCCTTCAAAAAGATGGATTGATGTAGTGACTGCAACAATGGGCTCGGGTATAGCAAGGACTGTGAGGCTGGCACAAGGCTGGGCAGTGTTTCGTTCCATTGTACACATGGTCGCTATAAGTCAGATACGACTTGACAGCACCTAACAACATAAATATATGGGATAGGGTGTAAGTGCCCCATAGGGGTTTCTAGGTTAATATCTTTGTTGTTGTTGTTAGGTGCCATCAAGTCATTTCCAACTCATAGTGACCCCATGCACA